TCCTGCTGCTTTCAACTTTTCTTTTCTTTTCTACTGAGTCTTGTCTTCTCATAATGTGACCAAAGTACAGTAGCCACTGTTTGGTCATTTTAGCTTTTAGTTCAGGCTGGATTTGAGCTAGAACTTACTTATTTGTCTTTTTGGTGGTCCACGGTATCTGTAAGACTCCCCTTACACGACACATTTCAAAGTAGAGATACCAGTCTGCAGGTGGGGCCTGGGGATCCCCCGGAATTACAGTTCCTCTCCAGATTGCAGAGATCAGTTCCCCTGGAGGAAACGGTTGCTTTGGACGGTGGACTCTGTAACATTATATCCTGCTGAGATCCCTGTCGTCCCCAAGGTCCACTTCTCCACACCAAAGCTGCTACCGAGAATTAAAACTTTGTGGGTCTTCAAGGGGCCACCACCAGACTCAAAACGAGGCTCTGCCGCCTCAGAGAAGCGCCCTCCTCGCCACACACGATTTTACCTCAGCCGCTTAGCCCCGCCCCCTCGCCCCTTCCTTTCCCCTTGACCGCTCCGACCACACACACACTCCCCCTCCCGCGCCCTTTTTCTGACAAACGATTGGCCGAGACTGTGCCACCACGGCTTAGCCCGCCCCCGTGTTCGATTCCCACCAACGATGGGCCGCGATTGTGCCACCACGGCTTAGCCCGCCCCCCCTGTGTTCGATTCCCACCAACGATTGGCTGCGATTGTGCCACCACGGCCTAACCTTCCCCCCCCCCCCACCCTCGCCCTCCATCCCTCACCGACGATTGGCCGAGATCCTGTCGCTCCCCCGGGAGGCGGCCCGGAGGAAAAAGGAAGCGAGTGGGCGGGCGAGAGGAGGCGGGGGCGGTTTCTCCCCCTTCGGCCCGCCCCCTCGGGAGGCGGCCGAGCGCGGATTGGCCCGGCGACGACACAGGGGGCGGGGCCGCGCGGCCGGTGCTGCCACCGCCGCACCAACCGGCTTGGGGTTTGGGAGGGGGGGAGGAGGAGGAGGAGGCCGGCGAGCGCGCGGAGTGGCCGTTGGGGAGACGGCCGGGCCCGGCGCATGGACGGCCAGCCTGAGGGGAAGGAGGACGGCCTCGGAAGCCCGCTCGTCTGAACCGCCGCGGGAGGCAGAGTGAGTGTCGTGTCGGAGGGGCGCGACCGCCTTTCTCACCCCCCCCTCACAACCTGCTCTGAGGGGGCGAAGGGCGGGCAGAAGCGCCCCCTGGAGGTTTCGGCCGAGCGCGGCAGGAAGGGGGGGGAAGGGAGCGTCAACCGCCTAGGGGTTGCCAACCTCCAGGCGGGGGCGGGAGGTCTCCCGGGACGACGGCTTAGGCGGCGGCGACGGTTTTGTTCGTCTGGAAAGGTAGCTGGCGGGACTTTGGACCCGTGTTCCCTCTGAGCGGGGTGAGTGTGAGCTGGCCAACCTTCCTTTAGCCTCCAGCTCACAGATTTTTGTTTTGTCTTCGCTCAGGAAGGATGGGGGCCAATGTTCCCTCTAAGCTGTGGAGTCTTGTGAGCGAAAATTCTACTTTCTGAGCGACTGGCATGAAAGTTGTGAGCTTTAATGTGGCTGCTGCATAGATTAGTTTGCTCTGGAGCCCTCCTTCCTGAGCAAAGGCAAAGATCTGTGAGCCGGAGGCTCAAAAACGGTGAGCCGGCTCACACTAACTCAGCTTAGAGGGAACACTGGTCATGGGGGGCTCCAGAGGAAACTGATTTGTGCAGCAGCCAAGATTGCTCGCTCACAACTTTAATGCCAGGAGCTCACATGGTGGAATCTTTGCTCACAGGGCTCCACCCCTTAGAGGGAGCCTTGGTCAGGATCAGTGTTCCCTCTAAGCTGAGTGAGTGCGAGCCGGCTCACTGTTTTTTTAGCCTCTGGCTCACGGATTTTGGTCTCAGCTCAAGAGGGATGGCTCCAGAGCAGACTAATGTAGCCAAATGGCTCTCTCAGGACTCCCACGCCGGTAGTTTACAAAGTAGAATTTTTGCTCACAAGACTCCACATCCTAGAGGGAGCGATGCTTTCTGGCTGTCTTGCCGCCAGTGGTCCCTCTAAGCCGTGGAGTCCCGTGAGCGAAAGATTCACCGTAAGTGGGCTGCAACTGGACGGCATCTTACTCTACCGCCAATTTTGCTTAAGATGGTACTGTCAGGCAGTTGCTCCCTCTAAGCTGTGGAGTCTCGTGAGCAAAAAATTCTACTGGGTGAGCACCTGGCACTAAAGTTGTGAGCGAGCGATTTGGCTGCTGCAGAAATCAGTTTGCTCTGGAGCCATTCCTTCCTGAGCGAAGACGAAAAGGTGTGAGCCGGAGGCTAAAAAACTGTGAGCTAGCTCACACTAACACAGCCTTAGAGGGAACGCTTGGAAGGAGGGCTCTGGGGCATTGTGCCCTGTTGAAGTCGTGCCCCAGTATCTCCAGGTGTCTCCCTGTCACCTGCTGAGGCTTGGGGGTATTGTGTGTGTTGTTGTTGTTCAGTCGCACGGTCGAGTCCGACTCTTTGCGACCCCATGGACCAGATCACGCCAGGCCTTCCAGTCTTCTGCCGTCCTCTGAATTTTATACTTTAGATTTCTTTATACTTTAGATTTAGAATTGTGTTTCTGTGTGTGTAAAACTACTTTAGCTGCTCAAAAGGAAGATGATCTGCGTCCTAGAAAGGCTATTTGCACAAAAACGTTACTGGGTATAACTGTAATTTTTAGAGCCCAGTAATAAATAAATAAAACTTTGGTGGTCTGAAAGATGCCACTGGACTCTGTGTTGTGTTGCTTCAGACCAACACAGTTGCACACCTTGATCTGTAATTTGTATGGGAATGCAAGATTACACGCCCCCCTTTATTTATCTGTTATTTGTTTTATTGGATTTATGAATCGCCCACCCTGCAAGCAGGCTCTGGGCAATTTACAACCTTATAAAACATTTAAAACAATAAATAAGTAAGTAAATGGTATTCCTTGGTATTTATGGTATTTCTTGGAAAACACCGAGTCTTGCGTATGAATAAATACTTTTATAGGGGTTTTTTTTGTGGGTTTCCTAGTAAATTAGTTGCTTTCAATCCACAGTGCAGACACACACACACACACAATAAGTTCTGGTTTTGTCTTGATTTCCCGAAGTTATCGGAATGTTGCCATCTAGAACGTTTTTCGCCCCTCCCGTTCCTCCAAGGAACTCGGGAGCAGCATGGGCGGTTCTCCTTTCCTTCCTCGTATCCTCACAACGACCCTGTGAGGAAGGTGAGGCTGGGGGAGAGGCCAGCTAAGGGAAGCTGCCGGCTTCTGGATTTCGCTCTTGTTTTAAAGAAATTGCTCGTGAAATAATTCTGCCCTGCATCTCTTCCCCCTGCCAAACCCTGTGCAAGAATCTCGCATCTGTTAATATTAAACTGAGTGTATATTTAATGTGTTAGTGTTTACGAGGGCCTTGTGTTATTGAGCATTGGGCTTCATTGCATGGTCGGTCGTATTGCATATGATGTGCAGAGGCAAACGGAGACTCCTAGCAACTCTTCTCTCAGGTCACCCGCTTCCTTCCTCCTG